TAATTATGCTAATCTCCTCTAGCGTGCATGAGCAGCTGGATAGAACAGGTGGAATTTACGCAGCTCATTTACACACTTTTCCTGAAGATAGAAGAGTTTGTTGAATCTGACGTGACATGTTCGTACGAACCCTTCGTACGAACAAAAGTAAGAGAAATTTAGGATAAGAATACGAACATGTTCTTGCATGAGGCCCAATGTTTTGTTTCAGAATCCAACATTCAGAATCAGARTTTTCCTGTTTTGAGTTCAAAAACAATCCCAACAGACCAATAACTGTAAAGTGAAGTATTTCAATACAGACAAAAAWAATAAACACAGATGTGCAATTACAGTAGAGTRGTACAAATGATTGTTTGGTTGATTAATTACAATGAATAGTAACAGTCGAAAATTTAGACTGTAAACGATGTTGCAGCAGCAGGTGTGTAAGCACTTATTGTGATTTTTGTAAACACGTGATTTTTGGGCGTGGAGCTGGTTATAAAGTCTGATAGCTGCTGGGAGGAAGGATCTGCGATAACGCTCTTTTGTGCACCATTTCCAGTGCAACTGCCCATAAAGGAAGTCAAAATGTGGTTGTTGTTTTTTTGTGGGGGGAGTCTATAGTCCTTTTTTTGTTTAGTTTTTAGTTAAGTTAAGTTTTGTTTTGTCCTGTCATTGCGTTCTATTTATTCCCCAGAGTTTCAGTTTGCTCCTCAGTCCTGACCCTCCCTCACCTGGTTCCTGTGATTATTAGTCTCATCTTTCTCCTCTTTTCTCATAAACTTCACCCTTTATAAGCTCATTCTTCCAGATTATCTGCTGTCTGAAATGGTGTTTGCCCTGTCTGGTTCTCCTCTACAGCCCTCAATGTTTCCTTTTGTTTTTGCTGCCACGCCAGACTTTTTTGGCATTAGATCATCTTTTTTATGAGCCTTTGTGAAAGTCTGCATTACTGTGTCCTTCCTCCACAAACTGTTACGCTCCATTTGGAACGGCACAATCAAATACAGAACTAAAATCCAAACAAATCTCAGCCTCCGACTGGTTTTGTTACTGCAGAGTGGTTTAATTGATTGCCTGCTTGTTCGAGCATTTGTGGAGGTTTTACAGCAACTCGTCGGCGCCTTACGTAAAAAGCATATCAGGATGAGTCACAGGTGTTTTGCTGTGAACCTGGCCAACATGTGGGAGGAAAAATGGCTCTAACAATACACATAACTGCATCAATATCAGAGAAGCTGCCGGTCTGTTTGTGCGATAATCAGGATTGGTTGTGGAGCATTTGCTTGAATTTATATCCACAGGGGTATTGACGAAACATTATTGTGGATCAACTCTCGAGCTCTTTGCTGTGGGGAATAAAAGCCAAAAACTTTCTTTTTTTGTGTCAATTTAAATAAATCAAACTAAATGATAATAATAATAACATGAAGAGATCCAAACAGCAATCACACCTCACATAAAGGGACCATTTGATTTAATTTTCTTAAAATCAACACATTTCTCGTTGAGTCTTTCCTGATATCGATCCCTGGTTGACGGTGAGCTGTTCGACGATGCTTTGGTGAAAAAGGTTGAGTGTTTCAAGACTAAGGTGAATTGCGGCCGTAATCAATTTCATGGTTTTATGACAACGGTCAGGAAAACGGAGGCTTGCAGTTTTATCGGAGTGAGGATTATTTCATGGTTACAGTCAGGTCATTGTGGCGTAGTTAAATTTGACTGTTAGTGCTTATTAAATAAGGTAATTACAGTTCAAAATAATTCACAGGAAGAAAAATGAAATGACAACAGGGAAGTGTTCAATATGTTTTGAATCAGCAATGAGGCTGACTAATGTTTAAATTTGTTTTTGTGATGAATCAGCAAAACTTATTTGATGTATATGATATAATTTCTGGCTCAGTGTCAGCATTGTATTTAGAAAAAATAAAAAATTAAATAAAGTTTTACAC